TCATAGTTAGAAGGCAGCCTCATACCAATTTTGAAAAATAAAAACAGGACAAAATGAGAAAGTTTTGAAAAGAGAACATTTTCTTACTCTTTTAAGCTGCAGAAGTTAAAAGCAAAAACTCCCTGAAACATGGTATGAAAAAATGATCCATCAAGAGAAGCCAGTGAGTGTTTCAGAATAGGTTGTCACCAAATCCACATTATCGCTTGGCAAGCCTCTGCCTCCCGACCCCAGGAATTCACGACCTCGAGCGCCAAAGACGTGTCAGTGAAGGGGGATGCCAGCTTCCGCTCCAAACAAAATATTCTCTTAAACTCCAAAGAGCTGTGCCCTCTGTAAACTGAGTCATCATCTGGTTGCCTCGAATGCCTGGGCTGGCATATCCACCAGAGTATCCACATCAAGAGAGGAGGGGAAACATCAGAGTCGTCTCCCGACTCATAAAAAGTCTTGAACATAGTCGGCATGCAATCGAGAACCGTTAAATTACATCTGTGCAAAGTCTGAAGCTCTAGGACTATGTGCAAGAGAAAATAGTTAAGCCAAGGGTAAGACAGAAAAAAGGAAGAGGAGGAGGAGGAGGAGGAGGAGGCAGGCAGACAGGAGGAACACAAAGGACCTCTTGTCTTCTAGAAGCCCAGGGCAATGATATAGTGAAATTAACTACAGCTTCACCCGGGAGCCAGAAATGCCTTTTTAATAAGCAAACAGGGAAGTGGTCCTTCACATGACCCACCTATGAGAGCTTTCAATCTTCCATGAGCTTCCAGTCAACTAAGGGGAAGTAAACAGCCAGTGCCAATAACGAAAGGCTAGAACTCAGTGTGTCAGCACTTAACAACGGGCCTTCTCTACCTCTACCTCTACCTCTACCTGGTTGTGGGCACGAAATGAAAAGACCAAATCCCAAGAAAGTCCAGAGAACACTTGGTCTTGCAGAAAATGCACTCAAGCCCATTACCAAAAAACTGGGCAGGGAGGCAGAGGGGAAACTTCACCTGTTTAAATTACTTCCTTTTCTCTGAGCTGTGTATTTCCAAGCCATTTTTTAAATGGGAAGTCCCATTGTGTGTGTGTGTGTGTGTGTGTGTGTGTGTGTGTGTGTGTGTGCGCGCGCACGCACATGTGTGTGCCTGCCTGTCTAGTGTGGGGGTGACATGGCAAGCATAAGCACACAACTATCACGCTAGGTTAAAGACAATATGATACAGGGCCTGGCTTGCCCACGAGCATAAGGGTAAAGCCTCACACAAGCAGGACCACGCAGGGGGCAGTGGTGTACTATTAGCACACCTCCAGCAGCTGACACTTAGCCCTTTGGTGCAGGGCAGGGCCTAGGTGTTGTAAGTTCGGCCACGAGGACTCTCAAGGGCTTATGCGATCAGTGACAGGTGTGAATCCTGGCCGCTACCACAAAGTTCTGAAGGGCGGAGGAGAGCTTCACCGTGTCTCCTTTTCCATACTTACAAATTCATGCGGGTTGGAAGGCTACATGGCGAACTTGACTGGAAAACATACTGGCTTTAAGTTAACAAGGAAAATCTGAAGCGATTTTTTTTGTCAACCACAGGGAAGAAACTATTCTAGAGTTCTCTCCACCAGCCGCAGCAAGGACCACGCAAGGATACCTGTGGAAAGAAGGTGTTGGGGGACTGGGGTTGGAGGTCCTGAGTTCAGAGAAGGAAGTTATTTCTTTTGGACAACTTTCCAGTGTGTGGACAACAGAGGCAGAAAGGAAAGAAGAAAGAACACCATCATTTAACTAGCTGTTGACAGAAGGCCAGAGTAGAAAACTCTAGACAGCACACCATTTACATGCAGTTTATAGTTAGAACAAGCAGGGGTCCCCAAAAGGTGCTCGAAGACCTCCCCATGGCTTCCTTATGCTACACGAATGACGGTTCCAGCTGAACACTAATGTCCTGACCCCTACTTGAGAGAAGAGAAGATTGGGAATATTTGATAAAGTCTCTGTTGATAAATTTGAAGTTGATGACTTTCAGTGTCTTAAATTCACCTTTTCTTGAAAATATTCTCTCAAGAAGTTAGGAGCCAATCCCTATGGGGAAGGAGGGCATATTTTAAGAGGAGTTGTCTTAAAGGGGTTTCTAAAATGGCACCAAGTTACTTTTACTGTCAACGTGAACATTACCTAAGAATTTGCCCTTCTGTCATTAGTGAAGAGTATGGGCTCAGCCCGAATGTGTGAGGGAGGAGGGCGCAGGATGGAGAGGGAGGAGGGTAGAGAGCAAAAAACATGACTCCAGGCCAAAGACAATACAAAAGGATTTTGAAATACAGAAAGGAAGTCTATCATCTAGACTAAAGTTGCTCATACACTTCAGGGGGAAAAATAACTCTTAATACGCATTAAATGAGAGAAACCCAGAAGGCAATGGTGTAAGAAAGCAATTCCAGAGCGGACTGCATAAATAGAAGTATTACATTATAAAACAGGGAACTGTTTGTTCCAGTCCATAGACCCCGGGTGAAATGGCAGCTGTACACTATTTAGTTTGGGGCACCTCATTAATAAAAAGGGAATTCTGAGGAGAGTGAAAGAAAGAATTGAAGGGCGAAAGGGACCAGCTTTTAACAGAAGATTAAAACAATGACGTATGCAGAGCTGGGGGAGAAAAAAAAACAACCCTGAACTAAATAGGTCTGCATTTATGGATGGGACAGGAGAATCCTGTAAAATGGCTCCACAGCAAAATAATGCCAAGTGGCAGGATCAAACAGAGGCCAAAAGGCGGAAAACGGGGACCCCCACAGGCAGATGGCTCAACAGGCTGTGTTCAGGCATAGATGAGTCTGGGGTGTCGGCCTCGCCCCTCATTCCTGAGCGCATAAAGGTGGAGGGACAGGGTCGGGCACCAAGAGGAAGCCCCCGAGATCACAGCATTTGAACTTGAACCAGAAGAGACATCTGAAAAACACAGGGGAAAGAACAGTCTTGCAGTGACCCAGAGGTGACAAAAGTTATGCTGGCATCCAAGAAATGACCCTGGTTCCTGAAGAAAGAAACTGGCCTCTCCATTTTGAGAATGAAACCTCAGCTACTCCAGCAGGGAGGGCACATGCTCCCCATTTCGTATAGCAGCTCACTCCATTTACGTAAAGAGACCAAAAAAGCAGCAAGGGGGTAGGGACAGGGGCAGGGAGCAGAGGGGTCTGGAGGGGCTCAGGAGGGACATCTCCAGGAAGAAACGAAGCTGACAGAACTGATCTGGCAGGGCCTTCAGAGACCAGGAAATGTCTACTCTGGCAGAGGGCTAGCCATGAATTAATCATAGATACCTAGCAAACCAGGGAAAATAAAAAGTTGTACAAGAAGGTAAATGAAATTATAAAACTCTACATGGCTCAGCTGTGATTAATATTTATAGAGTTAGAATAATGAAAACACTGAATATTAATATAACCCCAAATTATTATTTAATCATCATGGAAGATGAGGGGAGAGAAGACTGGGTATACAGCGGGGGCTGGGGAGTGTGATGTAGGGGGTCCAGGGGTGCTATGCAGGGGAGTGTATGGAGTCTGAGGTGTCCACGTGTGAGTTTGTGGATGGGTGTGTGTCAGTAGAAGTGTGTGGTTTGTAGAATGGAATGCTCGTGAAAGTCTCACCGTTTAGAAAGCCAATAGATAATGTCTAAAACATAAAAAAAAAAAAAAAAAAAAAAAAGAAATCAAAGCACATTAAGAAAGATGGAAATATGTAACAAAACAAACAACTAAAAGTTGAAAGCCATGGCTCTGGGCAGGGGGACGGGGAGGGTCATGCCATTTTTCTTAAGGTTTATATAACTTATTGCCTTTAAGAACTATAAAGATGTGAAATTAGATAAAATTAAGATTAAAAACTCCACAGAAATCAAGCTTTAAAGGACTGGGAGCCAAGGAACGGGGCCTAACTCCCAGATGACGCCAGAAGGTGGGGCAGGCCGAGGACCACGCACCAGGGGCCAGGCTGGGAAGGATGGCCAAGAGAAACACGAGGACAGGACAGAAACACAACCTGGAAGCTCAAGGAAGGGAGCTTCGGCGTGGGACCATGCAATACTTTCAGAGACCACAGAAAGAATAGAAGAAGGCCCAGCAGGTAGCTACAGGGTTGGGTAAATCCAAGGTCAATGGTGACCTCTCAAGGGTGGTTTGCTGATGCAGTGAGACAGGCTATGGTAAGCTGAGGCACTGGCTGGAGACGACAGATACAGGCTATTCTTTCAAGAACCTTGAAGATTCTATTGCAGAGAGAGAAGCAGGACACAGGATTGTGGGAGAGCTCTTGTTCTGTTGTTTTTAAAGAGGCCCTGATGCCCTGTGATTCCATAGTGAGAGAAAGGGAGTGGTAGGGCTGAAAACACAGAAGGAGGATTCTACCAGTGAGGTCCTGGTGGGAAAGAGAACCACAAAGAAGTGGAAGGGAGTGACGGAAAAAGGGGACTGTGGTGGGAGCCAGGAGCTGGCGAGGTTCCGCTGGAGGCCCCGACCCTGTGGAGAAGCAGGCAGCACCAGGCCATGACTCGCAGAGGCACCCTCAAACCCAACGGGAAAATGTTTAGAACAAGTGCAGGCTGTTCTGATCCTCTCTGAAGTTCATTCTTACGCACTGGACTTGAGGCCACAAACTCTTATCCCTACCAGCGAGCAGGCCATAATTTAGCACTTGCTTTATGTCCATCTGGACCAATAAAGTGTATCTAGAGTAAGCACTGGAGGAATCTGGGGATAGGAGACACAGCATCTCCAGTTGTCCTGCTCATTGGGCAGTGGCCTGTGACACCTGAAGAAAGTGAGGTGAAGTTCCTTCAGTTAAAAAAAAGAAAAAGAAAGAAAGGCAAGAATGCACACAATGTTCCTTCCAGAATACGATGGTCACCTGTGCGGTCGGTGATGGGACACGAGGACGAGCAGCAGCAAACCAAAGCCCTCGGGAGGTCCACACCGGGCCCCCACCAGAAACCACTCACCAACGGGCCTGTGAGACCACTCACCTGGATCGGTGGAGGGGCACCTGCGGATGGTGAAGATCTGCCCCAGGTCCTCGTCCTCCTCGGGAAGGCCCTTCTGCAGCCGCTGCAGCTTGCGCAGGCTCTCGCTGCGCTGGTGCTTCATGGAGCGCACGTGCTGGATGAGGTTCAGCTTGGCCTTGGTGGAGTAGTTGCACAGGACACAGTGGTAATAGCAACTTTCACCCTCCACTCCGCTCTCGTGCTGCTGCAGGTGCTGCGAGGGGCAGAGGAGAGGGACACGTCGTGGGTAAGCCACTGGAAGACACCACCGCCACGAGCCCACCCGTTCCTGGCCGGAGCCCAGGGCAGAGATTCCTGGGAGGGGCTGTTCTGTCTTCCCCAACGTACCTTCTTCTCCAGCAGTGCTTCGAGGGCCAGCAGCCAGCAGACTCCCCTCCCCAACTCCCCCGAACGTCCCTTCCCTGGCGGCTTTCCACGCGCTGCTGATGCTGACAGTGCCGACCCTCCCCAGGTGACCTGGGTCTTCCTGGCACAATAATCAAAGGTTCTTCCTCAGACTCTCCAGAATGCCCCACTTTATTTAGATCAGGGTTTGCAAACAATGGCCTGTGGGCCCACTCCAACCTGCTGCCTAATTTTGTAAATAAAGTTTTAACAGAACACAGCCACATCCACGGATCTGAATATTAACGATGGCTGCTTTCCAAGCACCAGAGTTGAGTAGTTGCAACAGAGACAGCATGGGCCTCAAAGCCTCAAATATTACTACCTGGCTCTTTACAGAAAAAGTTAGCCAACCTCTGCTTTAGGTGATAGCCTATATGGTTACACTCCCTGCATAGAATCCTAGGTCAGTAACACAGAGCCAAAGCTGTTGTCTGGCTTTTCCACAATAATGACAGGTCAAGTTTTTATATTTAGAACCACAGTCTATTAGGAGAACCTAAAATTAGGTTTTCCTTCAGATTAAAAAAAAAAAAAAACACACACAGAAAAATAAATTTCTCCAGACTGGTTGCCTGTCAACATCTGAAGGTCACTTGGCTTAGTGCATCAGATGGTCAAAATTACACTCTTGATTGTATTTGTGTGTTCTGATTCCAGAACAAGGAAGCCCAAAACGTGGCAGAAAGCAGACACACACAGGATTAAAGAGAGAGGTGCAAGAACAGGAGAGGTCATGGGAACAGTTAGCAGACCCCAGACTTCTGTGTACTGTAAAAGACTCGAAGACTATCCAAGGACAAAAACTCACAAACTCTGTGTGCCTCTTTGAGAAAACGGTGAAAGGTATGGGCCCTTCTCACTAACAGCTGAGGAAGTAACAAGCTCCTGGTATAGAGAGGATAATCTCCTTCATTTCAAATGATCCCATTTTAGGAGAAGAGGGAATTTTTCTACTGGCTGCCCTTTATAAAGCAGGGCAAACAACTCCAATAAACTTAAGTGAATGACCCAAGGTCACCCAGCTACTTAGTGGGAGAGAGGGAACTAGGACCAGGGTCTCATGTTCCTCCAGCATCCCTGAGGAGGAGCAAACTCAGATAATGTGTTTTATGTGCTTGTGTTATTACCTGCCCTTTCCTCCTTCTCCCCACCCCCATCTCCAGACCCCAGAGCCTGGCTCAAGAAGACACAGGGAAGACACAAAAAATGTCTCGGAACCACTTTGTGCTGTTCCTCTCCTTTCTGACCTGCATGTGCACACACCAATGCCATGCTAACTGTTGCTCATCCTGCTTCAACAGCCTTCTTCTCTAGATTATAGCTTGAGACACTGAGAAGGCAGAGCAGTTAGAATGCCCTGCGCTCCATTAAAAATACCCAAGCGGCCCTACCAGCACTTCCCATTGAATGACACACTCCAGGCTCAGGTGCTCACACGTACACATTCTTTGTTCTGTAGAAAACTATGAAAATCCCAGAAGCATGTTTGAGCTTTATTGGAAGAGGGAAGGATGAACGTGCCAATGGACCGTTGCAGAAAAATCTTTGTGGGGGATGAAAGGGAGGCCCAGGCCTTCAATCATGTAAATTGGCTAAACCACCCCATACCTAACTGTTGCTCTGAGGCCAAGGTATAGGCAAAAATGGGAAGGGCTTCATAGGTACCAAGAGAACAATCCCTTCTTTCCCCCAAAATGGTTGATTTGACACACTCAGGTGCAGAGCTTTGGAACAAAACAATATCCCCACTAGTAACAGCCATCCTACAGCAATTTCACAACCAGAAGGAGTCGGCAGAACTGGCGAACTCAATGTTAACTGTTAAGGCAATGACAACAACTTATAATAAAAAGCTACTTTCTGGAAATAAATTTGAGCTGATTTCCTCTTTAATGGTTTATCTTCAATGTGCCTCTGAGAAGGGGTCCTTGACGAGGATTTCAGGAGGGTGGAATTCACCAAAGCAATCTTTTTTGGAGGCTACAACCCTAGGGAGAAGGAGGGCCTGATGGGCTAGATATAAAGGGAAAAGGATTAGCTTGCCCACGTTCATTGTCCCCAACTTCCCTATAGAGTCCTCCCACCCCCCAAAAGTCAAAAACTGGACTAAGATATTTCTGGGAGCAAGGGGTCTGGCTTGGGATTAAGGAGCAGGAAACTTGTATGAGAGCCAGCATGGGGAAACGTGTACTGCTGTCTTGGGTCACTAAGGCCAAAAGAATTACATTTATTAAAGCTTCAACAACAACTGATGAAATAAAAGATAACAGGGAAAATAACCATGGAATCCAAAGCAATGAATTTTATCGAGGGATTTTGGTAAGATCATATAGTATGAACTCAGAACAAGAATCATTAAAGCCTTACCCCAAAATTCCCATTACCCTCCCGTGAGACAGGATTTCCTTGCAATAAGGCACTGAATCCTTAACATAAAATTGTAATATGGATATAAAGGCTCTTTTCCAAATGGCTGGTGTTCCCAACCTCTGAGCCAGAAGAGAGGACAACGTGGCCAAAAAGAGTTGGATGGAAGTTGAGATCTCAAATGTCTTTTGTCCTTAAATCCATAGGCCCTTGGGTGATAGAACTATATAAATCCTGAATTGACATAAACATCACACTGGGAATTCCTGCTTTAAAAATAACCAATATGATGAAAATGTTCCAAAAACACTCTATACTCAATCTCCTGGGGGTAAATGGCAACCTCTTGTGCCACCAGGAGTTCTTCCATCTACCATTTGGGAGCCATTTTGGAAAGGAAATGGACACACGCTACAAATGGTAGAGAAAAGAATAAGAGGAAACAAGGTAAACAGGTCTATGGCCTCTCCCCTTGATCCTGGTCTAGAGAATATTTAGGGTCTTCTCTTAGAGGCTTGTACAAAAACTTAATTCAAAATTCCAAGCCGGCGTTTGTAGTCTGGGTTCATTCTCCAACACACTGAAAAAACTGCAGAATAAACTGTTTATTGGTTGCCAGGAAACACCTGCTTATGAAGGTCACATCCCAACCCAAACTTTTTAAAAACTATTTTTAATTTTTATTTATTTTTGATGGGGAGGAGGGGCCGAGAGAGGGGGGACAGAGGGCCTGAAGCAAGCTCTGCGCTGACAGCAGAGAGCCCTTTGCGAGGCTCAAACTCATGAACCTCAAGATCACGACCTGAGCCAAAGTCGGATGCTTAACTGATTGAGCTACCCAGGTGTCCCACAACCCAAACTTCTGATCACAACCTGAGTCTACCTGCAGGTCAAAGATCCTGTTCTTACCAGATTTTATAAATTCTCACTCAGTACTTCTCCAGCTGTCCAACCTGGAGCAAACAGGGATCCAAAGCTAGCAACAGGGTCCTGCCCTGTATGACCTTCTCCACACCATGGGATCATTTCCCAGGTCTTGAGCGGGTCAATGCCCTGACCTGTTGGCCAGATACCCTCTCCATCCCAAGTGGCACTGGTTGTGTCCCCAGGATTCTACCCTAGGAACCTGCCTAATATGAAGCAGTGGGGGGGTGGGGGGGGCTGGAGAGACCAATGAGGACTCCAGGAGAGCAAGCCGTCACCCACGGACATGCTTCCCCTGCAGAAAAGACTAGATGTTTTCATTTGGAGGAGAGAGAATAATTTGTTCCTGACCCAGCTAATTAGAATACCCTCAACTGGGATCCCAATGTATTTAATTAAATTCACTGTAATATATGAAGAATCCACCAAGGCACAAATCTCAGGGGAACACTCAATAAAGGATCTGCCCCTGTTCAGAATTCTTGCTCTTCTTGACAGGGAGGGAATTTTTCTCCCCCACAAATCCTCAATGCTCCAACCCTCTCCCTCAACTCTATCAGAGGCCCTCCCATCCTTGGGGAGGGGAACGTAGGTTTTGCTTTACTTTTTCCACTTTACTCTGCATTCGATCTCAACTTCTTACCTCTATGAGGTCAGGTGTAGAGTTTATTTAAAATTTTTAAGTTTATTTTTTATTTTGAGACAGAAGGCAGAGGAGGGGCAGAGAGAGAGGGAGAGAGAGAAAATCCACCCTGACAGCGCAGAGCCAGCTGTGGCGCTCAAACTCACAAGCTGTGAGATCATGACCTGACCTGAAACCAAGAGTTGAACGCTCAACCGACCGAGTCACCTAGCCACCCCAGGTCAGTGGTACAATTTAAAAAAGAAAACAAAACAACAACTTCAGCTGTGGCTAGTAGGCTCTCAGGCGTGCACGCTACACATGGACCCAGAGAAAACCGGCTGCTCTGCCCACTGGACAAGGTTTGAATCTGATTCACTTCTAAATGTCTACAACACATTAGACACTATGCACACGCGCACACGCACACGCGCGCACACAGAACATGCCCTACCCCAGGCCTTAACCTGCGGTTAAGACAGTGACAGTGGTGACTTGGAGAACACGCCAAGAGGGACATGAGAAGGACATCCCTTTGGCTTGAATATCATCGTGAAAACATGCCAGCTCCAACAGTGAAAATCACTGGCTTACTCAAGAAAAACTACCATCTATCCACAAACTAATAATGATGAAGAAGCGTGACCAACTAATAAACTAAGAAACCAAGATCAACTAGCTAAAGAATAGTGGTAACTGAGGTCTACCCCAACCCACTCGGGCCAGTGACCTATAGCCTTGGACCTGCCTAAGGGTTTCCTTGATTTTCCTCCATGTCACTGGCTGGTTTAAAAAGTTCACACACAACACTGAGTTATATGAACTGCAAATGTACAGTCATTTCCTAAGAAACTTTCAATATGATTTACTTCTGAAAACTCAAAGAACTACAA